TCTAAAATTATATTTATACGAAAGGGTGGGTCGGGGCCATGATCATAAATTGCCGGATAACATCATTATTGGGCAAAAATGTATACTAATTTTACAACTCTGCTTGTTATGACCATTTTCATGACCAAGTTTATAACTTATAGAACGAGAATTAAGGTTTTAAATCTTGCAAAATTTTTCATGCTAACGACGTTTATAAACATTAATTGTATTTTTTATACTAACTTTTGGAAATAATTGAAATCCAGAAATTGCCTTTCTTTTACTAAAAGATATAAATGCCGGCATTTTAATTTAATTAAAATAATGCTTTAAAGTTACTCTTTTTCCAAATTGGTGAAATGATATCATAGGTCAAACCCAAGTGTTTATAATTCAAATTTGTGCGGTCTATTATTAAAATATGAAGTATTATTCACATATTGTAGTGCAAATACTTTTTTAATTTTCTGTATTTTTTCATTTCACTTCATGACTCAAGCAAGCATTTATTATTGATATATTTGAGTTCTTTTAGTTGGTTTTCAGTATTAAATTACAAAACGAACAATACTTTGAAACAGTTGTATACAGTATGATTATCTTGATATATTCTCTTTCATTTTTACAAATATGAAAAAAAAAGCAGCAAAAAAGAAAGTATAATGAAAAACTTTCTTTTCAATATATTACTAATAAATTTTTCGACTTATATAAAGTCTAATTATATTAAATCAAGCCCATCAGCTTAAGGGTTTGTCTGCTCTAGATATTAAAAATGTAACCGGATTAATAAAGTGTTAAATGTTTCTACTACGGTATTGCAAACAAACGAGAAAAGGTATTCAATGATATCTTCAATTCATTGAATATGAAGACAAAGGGCATGTAATGAATATTAATAAAAAAAAATACAGTAATAAAGAAAAATTGACGGGCAAATAAAAAATATATATATATCTAATTAAAGATTGTAACTATAAAGAATGCATATGTTTGTTTTTGGTTATCAATATAGTTATCCACTAAAAAACTGGAAGAGTGGGAGTTTTTTCTTTAACGACAGCATCCAATTCGTTCGGATCTAATCCAAGAGCGGAAAGAATGAAGGGAGCAATGTAGCGGGTTTCGACAGCATCGTTGGCAACTTTTTGTTGAATAGAGGGATTATAAACTATAATTGGAACATGATAATCATCTTCGTTGAAACCACCATGTTCAGCAATTTTTTTCTTCGAAGTAGTGTAGACAACACCAGGTACGACCCTAATAGCAATATCGGGGCATCGAGTATCAGTATTTGGATCACAGCCAAATTTTGCTTTAAGTGAATCGCCTTCAAATATTTCAGCAATACCAAGAACATCTTTTTTAGCTGAAAGACTATCTGCAGCGGTTTTTGAATCACTATGATTTTTTAACCAAATAAGTGCAACATCATCTGTTGTTATTTGATTAAGTTTATCAGCACCAATTGTGTCATTCAAAAGTTGTGGATCGATTTTCTTAAACAACGTACGATCAATAGGAGATTGACCATGTTTCGCGGAAATGACGATAATCGTATCATCATGTAAATTTTTTGTCTTTAATTCATTGATAAATTTTCCAAGAATACCATCTATATAGTTAAGAGCATTTTTAACTTGATCTGCTGGAGTAGCATTAGCATCCACATAACCACCGATAAATCCAGTTACATTTGACGATGATTTTTGAGCTACACTGAGGGACTGGAAATTACCACCGAAAATATTAGGAACACTGAAAGGTTTACCATCATGTGTTTTACCATCTATCCAATTGAGTATGGATACGGTGTGATAATTATCGTATGGCTCAACCTGAGTTAGGTTTGTTTTGTCTGGTAAACTAGCAATTTCTGGACCATAAAAGTCATCAACACCTTTTCCAGAAGGACCATTAACGATCGAGTATGCGGGTAACTTATCAACCCAAGCAGTTTTAAGACCATGTTTCTTTGCAACCTCAAAAACAGTATTAACACGAAGATATTGCCATGGTTGAACTTTTACACATTCACCCTCTTCATCAATTCGTAACGGAAGTAGGTCTTGATTAATGGTAGTGTTAAGAACTGTTTGGTCTACATCAAGTGACTCATCCCAGACCACATTCAAACCAGGGGAGCCTTTACATTTAGACCCAGGAGCAAAGAAAGTACCATCCCTAAGAGTAAAATAAAAATTTTAAAAATAAGAAATCATTTTAGAATAAAAGATTAATAATATTTTAATACTTTTCAATATTTGATCACATACCATGAATTATCATACCAAACACCAGTGGTCTTTGGTAAACCACCAGTTAATTGAGCCAAAAGACCAGGGAATGAATCAGTTGGCAAGGCAGCTTGGGCATTTGTGAAATATACGGAATTTTTAAGAATAGATGCAAGATTAGAATTCGGGTTAGAAGTTGTAAATACATCAACATCCTTTTGATGAAGGCCGTCAATTGAAATCAATAAGACATGATTAAATGTTTGTGTACGTTTGTTATGAAGGGAAGGAGATTGTGGATAACCAAGTGAAATTGTCACGAAGAAAACAAGGGAGATAATGACTGACAATTTTCGGATAACCATATTGAAAATATAAATATATATATATTATATATATATTATATATATATATTATATATAAATTAAGATCTCTATAAGTGCACATCGTTAGGATTAGTTCTAAGGCATGCATTTATAAGAGAATGCAACTATAAGATAGTCAATAATATTGCCCAAAATTTCGAGAGTTCGTTTGTGATACCAATTATAAAATTACTCAAATAAATGTTATACAATTTAGATGTAACGTAGTTCTAATTGTTTGGAACGTCCATCAAAATTTTAATATGTAAAGATACAAAATTTAATGGTATTTTCTAGTGTTGCGGGATAATCCGATATTTTTGTCTTGGCAAAATTTCATTGCTTTTCAATTGAAACTTTCCCGTTTTTTAGTAATTCTGTCAAAATTGTTTACTTTAGCATAACACATTTCTTTGTGTAAAAGTAATCTACTGAAAAAAGCTTGGCAATAACGATCATCTTCCCCATTATTCTCGCTCGGATTGCTTTATTAAACCTTATATATGGAATAACATTATGGGAGTAGTGCGCTCGCTGCAAG